AATAAGCCGCACAAAATTGCTTAGTGTAATTCTAGTCCATGCGCCTACCCATGGGCTTGGGTGATCTGTGTAGTTTGGAGTATACTTCCCCATGCGTAACCTAATCCGATGCTCTTTTGCTTTGCGAACACAGTGGGTCAATACAATGCATACATATTGCTATGGTACAGGAATGAGTCGCCTTACTCAGGGTTTGCCAATCTCCACGCGTCCCACACATCCCATGCTGTCGTCCCTGTACGGGTGGGTGGGCATATATTCGTGAAGCAACGCTCATAGTGCCTCTGCTCAGCTATATCTGAGAGTACGTTTTGTATCTTAGGAGTGGTTGGAGATTTCCAGGCCCGCGCTATAAGGCGTTGAGCCGTTAGTGTTGTGTGGAAAATTAGTTTTTGGAGGTACTTAGGAGTGTGGGGGGGAGTGTGCAGTAGCAGGTACGTGAGCGGGTCTAGGGGCAGTGTAAGTTTCGTGAGGTCTTGTAGGAAGGAGTGCACTTCTTCCCAAAAGGGTTTGATCAGTGAGCACGTCCACCAGATGTGTAAAACTGATCCGGTGTGCCTCCGACATCTCCAGCAGGTGGATGAAGCGGCGGGGTACATTTTAGAAAGCCGCTCCGGGACCATGTACCATCTGTAAATCATTTTTTTGTTCTGCTCCAATAACGGTGCTGATTTAAGGAGGGTTTTGGGTGCGGTAGATAAAGTGTTCCACTCTTTGTGAGTGAGCTCAATGGTCAGATCCTCTGCCCATTGTCTAGCTGGCGTGGCCTCTGAGAGAGGGGTGAAGTCTAATAGCAATTGGTAACACGTGGAGATTGGCTTACAGAGTGGGGGTAGTTTTTTATTTATACACATTTTCTCCCATGTTGTAAGTTGGTCGGTGGCTATTTGGCTGGGCGGTACTTGTGTAGCTTGTTTGTGCAGGAAAGAATGAAGTTGTCTGTAGGAAAAATGAGATGTCAGGGGGACACCGTGGAGTGAGTGTAGGGTGTGAAAGTCTAGGAGCTTTGAGTCAGCGTGGAATTGGCCTAAGTATTGGAGCCCCTTCTCCTGCCACGGTTTAGCGTAGAAGGTGGGAATGCAGTATGTGAGAGCCGCTGTCGGTGTGGCTGGGGACAGAGGGCCGCTGGAGGTCAGTTTATGTCTATGTGCGTCCCAAACTCGTATGAGTAGGGCGAGTTGGGGAGGGATATCTTTTAGGGGGGGGCGAAGCTGTTGCGGGAGCCATTGTATGTGGGTGATGTCATACGGCGTCATCATGAGCTTCTCAAGCCTGACCCATTGCGGGGGGCTTTGGTCAACAAAATGGGGGATGGCTGCTGCTAATATGGACGCGTGGTAATAGGTACGCACGTCAGGGACTGCTAAGCCTCCTGCTCTAGCTGGAGCTCGTAGGAGCTTCATTGAGGTGCGGGGTTTACCCTTGTTCCAGATGAAGTTGGTGATATCGCTCTGTATCGCTTTAAAATAGGATTGTGGCATTGGTAATGGGAGGTTCCTAAAAATGTATTGTAACCTGGGGAGTATGGACATCTTAATCGCCACTATTCTCTCAGTCCAAGTCAGGAAGAGGGATCCCCATTTTGTCAGGGATTGTTTACACTCTGTCCAGACCCTGATATAGTTGGTTGCGCTTAGGTCAGCGCGGCGTCTGGAGAACATAACACCTAGGTATTTGATGTTATCTCGCCTCCATTCGAAAGGGTATGTCCTGCGTAGTGTTTCCGTCACTTGGGGGGGTAGGCCAATTCCCAGGGCTTGGGTTTTTGTGGTGTTCAGTGCGTAGTAGGAGCATAGGCCATATTCCTTGATGATGTGCATAATTACAGGGATCGTGGTCATGGGATCGGTGACATAAAGGAGGATATCATCCGCGAAGGCGCTAACTTTGTAATCTGTTCCCTTAATTTGGATCCCTTTGATGTCAGGATGGTTTCGAATGGTTTGCAGGAGGGGTTCTAACGCTAACACGTACAGCAGGGGGGATAGGGGGCACCCCTGCCTCGTTCCATTGGACAACTGAAACGGGTCAGACATAAAGCCTGCCTGTAGTACCTGGGCTGTCGGACCCGCATACAGAGCAAAAATTTGTGACTCAAACTGGGGGGGGAACCCATAGGCTCTCAAGGCTTGTTGCAGGAAGGGCCAGCTTAGGCGGTCAAAAGCTTTTTCGGCGTCAAGTGCTAGTAATAGACCGCCTCCTCTGGTCCCCCTGAGGTAATCCAGGATCAGCGACAGTTTCCTGGTATTATCTGTTCCCTGTCTTCCTTGTATGAACCCTGTCTGGTCATCTCCAATAAGGGATGGCAGGACCCTATTTAGTCTATTTGTTAGGATCTTCGCATAGATCTTTGCATCTGAGTTTAGAAGCGATATAGGGCGGTAATTTTTACAGGTGTCCGGGGGTTTGTCGGGTTTCGGGATGGTTACTATGGTAGCCCGGAGCATCTCTGGTGGGAGCGCGCCCGTGGCAGTCGCCCTACGGTACACTTTTAGCAGGTGGGGGCCCAGGACGTGCGCAAATTTTTTGTAGTAGGCGTTTGGGAGCCCATCTGCTCCTGGTGACTTCCCTTGTGGCAATTTGGCGATCGTTTCAAGCACCTCTGTGAGCTCAATGGGCCTGATTAGTGCTTCTGCCTGTGCGCTCGTTAGTTGGGGGAGTTTGGCTTGGGATAAAAATTGGGTTATGTCGTCTAAGCTAGCGTTGTGAATGCTGCCCTCCTCCTTTAGGTTGTAAAGTTTAGAGTAGAAATGAGCGAATTCCTGGCTAATATCCATGGGGGTAACCTTCTTTAGTCCGTCGCCTCCCACCACGTGGGCTATCTTGGAGCTAGAGCATTGATTTCGTAGCCTGGCGGCTAAGTATTTAGTGGCTTTCCCACTATTGTGGTATACATTGGCTCTCAGTTTGTGGAGCATGCGCTTGGTTTTTTCTGTATTCAGCTCTTGCATTCGTGCGTAAAGCCCTCTGAGCTGTTTCGCTAGGTCAGGGGTGGGCTTAGATTTATTCTGCCTAGAGATTATAGCTATTTGCCTAAGGCAATCAAGGAGGCCGGACGTATTCTGCTTCTTTAGGAAGGCGGCTCGTCTCAAGAAAAGCCCCCGTACTACTGCTTTATGCGCCGACCAAACCGTGTAGTCTGAGACCTCACCTGTCGCGTTCAGCGCAAAGTATGCTTGGAGTTCTTCTCTTATGTGTTCCGCAAAGGGCGCATTGGACAACAGCGAATCGTTTAGACGCCAGGACCCCCGGCCCCGAAATTGGAAAGTGTCTAGTAAGTTTAGATAGACGGGACTGTGGTCTGACCAGGATATTTCCCCTATGGTGCACTGCGTGAGTTGCGGCAGTAGTGTCCTGTGTAGGAGAAAGGTGTCTATGCGCGTGTATGTATTGTGGACTCTGGAGTGAAAAGTGTAATCCCTGTCTGTCGGGTGCATGGTCCTCCAGGCGTCGTATAAGTCGTATTGGTCAAGGAGTTTGGAGAGTGCTTTACATGATGTGTCCAGTCTCCGTTTGTTTGCGCCCGTGGGGGTTGCAGTAGTGTCTAGCCCTAGCGATTGTATGCAGTTAAAGTCTCCGCAGAGTATCAGGTCCCCTAACCTATAATCTTCGATTTTGCGCAGGAGGGAAGACAGAAAGTGGCGTGGTCGGTCGTTGGGCAGGTACGCTGCCACCAGCGTCAGTTGTGTATCATTGAACCGACCCACCAGTATAACATATCTCCCCTCTGGGTCTATGTACTGTCGCTGTGGAGTGTAGGCTACATCTTTGTGGATAAAGATCGATACTCCCTTGGATTTTGTGGCAGAGAGAGAGTGCACTTGCATGGGGAATTGTCTAGTAAAGATAGCTGGGGGGTGGGTACGTTTGAAATGTGTCTCTTGTATGCAAGCTACGTCTATACCATTGGTTGTAAGGTCTTTAAGAAGGAGTCTGCGCTTGCCTGGGGAGTTCAAGCCATTCACATTATATGAGACTAGTTTCATACTTAATTATTTTGTGGGCAGGTACACTAGTGGTAGTAATTCCTATGCTTGCTACTAAAGCAGTGCTGGGCACAGTACGGTCGAATAGGCGTATTGGTGGAGGCTGCAATGTATAGTTTTCCTGGAGGGTGGGTTTCGAGGGGGACCCGTTGGTGGCCCCGAGTATGACTGGGTGGGAGGGGATAAACAGGGGGGTAACTAGGGGGGGGAGACAAACACGTGGGCAACCAGCCCTATCTTGCTTCCAGCTAGGAAGCCAAAATGCCCCGAGGAGAGCTCGGGCGCATGTGGTTGGGGTCGTGGGGGTGAGCGTCCTCTTTGAGGTGGTGGCTCACTGTGGTGGCGGCAAGGAGCGTTGCCATGCTAAGGATGAAGGGTGAGTAGTAGGCATGAGGGGTTGTGCCTCCTTTAAAGCTTCGGGCAATGTGGGGGAGGAGGGTGAGCTCACAGTACTCCCCGAGTCTCCTCTGCACCGGCAGGAGGTTCAATACATGGAACACATGAAAGGGTGCTTCCCATGAACTGTGGGGGGGGGGGGGAGTGAGCGTCAGCACCCCCATGAAATCATAACCAAACATCTGAACAACATTCAACCAAAATATGCATTATAATACACTGAGGGGAGGCGGGTGACCACTTAAGAGGTCAAAGATTTTACCGCAGTCCTTGGAGATGGCATTCCCCTCGTGTATCAGTTCACAGTCCACTCCGGGGAAAGTCTTGGGACCTTGGAAGGGAGATGTCGGTGTACCTCAGGCATTTGGAGGCCCCAGGATTGTAGCTTGGCGATTCCTAGTTCCAGTGTCGGAATGGCGTGTAGGGCATCTCTGTAGTGAATCAGGAGCTTGGCGGGGTAACCCCATCGGTAAACGATGTTGTGGTCTCTCAGTGTGGTTGTCACTGGGGTTAGGTTCTTCCTGAATTGTAGCGTCGCTGCAGATAAGTCTGCAAAGAGTTTGATTCGGCTGTAGGGGTCTGGCAAGCCTGAGGCCCTGCTGGCTTTCATCAGCTGCTCTTTGGTATGGTAGAAGTGCACTCTGGCAATGACATCTCTCTCTGTGGTTGGAGGGAGGTGCTTTGGGCGTCTTAGCCTGTGTGCCCGATCCACTATAAGCTGATCCGGGTGTATTGTGGGAGTGAGGGCTTGGAACAGATTTGTCAGGTAGTTTTCTAATTCTTTTGGGGCAACTGTCTCTGGAATACCCCTTATACGTATATTGTTTCTCCTGGATCTGTCTTCTAGGTCTGCTAGTTTAAGTTGGTAGCTAGTGAGGGAGTTCTCAAAGCCCTGCACCCTGTCAGCTAGGCTGTTATGGGCCTCTGCAAATTCATCCATCTTATGTTCTAAGTGGGAGGTGCGCTGGCCTACCTCAGTGATATCCTTGTGGAGGTCTGCTGCCAAGGTTTGCAATTGGGTTTTCATGTTATTCTGCAGCTTGTCTGAGAGCTCTGCAAACATAAGCCGCATGGTGCCGACCGTGAGGGGTCCGTCGTCAGCCGCTGAGGATGGTGAGGCTGGCGGTGACATTGAGCCGTCTCGTGAGTCTCGCGCGGCGCCATCTTTGATCAGGCCGCGTCCGTCCCGCGCTTTTGTTTCGGCGGTTCTCGCCAGAAAGAAGGACTCCCGGTCCGATTTGGCGGCCTTGCCCTTTTGCCTCTGTGACATGGTGGAGCGAGGAGTGAGGTTTAGTGCTCGTTAGTTCGATTATTTTGCTCCAAAGTGCCGAAACCTGCGGGAGCTTCAGAAGTGTGCGTCCATTCAGCCAATATACTTAAATTTAAATGTACAAACACTACTCACAAATACAAATACAATGCTGGCGGTATTTATTAACTGTTCTGAAAAGTAAAATTTAGCAGTAAAAGCTAACTCAAATTCTGTCATTATTTTGATAGTCTTCTGAAAAGTTATCTAAAAAGGTGGTGGTTTTGTTTATAGTAAATTCTGCCAGGTTTGGAAGCATTTCCATTTAAAAAAACACACAAATTTATAGCATTGGGAAAATGAAGTAATCAGTGAAAAAATGTAGCATATTTATATGTGACGGTAAGGATGCCAAAAAAAAAAAAAAAATATTAACTGATGAAAAGACCCCAAAAAGCATGAAAAAAAAAAAATCTGACATTGAATAAATTGCATAAAAAAATTCACTGAAAATTGAAGTTTTCATTGATAGTTTCTTAGGATCACTCAGTAACTATAGTAAAATAAACTCTGATCCAACGAAACTTAAAGCTATGACTTTCATGAATTTTTCATATATATATTTTTTCCATTTCTGCATAATCATCTCGGCATTTATACAGCTCCCTGCATCACAAAGTGATTCGCACAGAGCTACAGTATAAAGGGATAATTTGTCCGACTTTGAGGCTTTCCAGTGATTTCTGTAATATCTGCAGTTTTATGAGCGATATTACAATTTTACAGAAAACCTGACATGTGTGTCTTTTTCACTGATCACCGGAGAGAGGAATCCTCTGTCTTCAACACAGCTTTTCGACCACTTGAACATCCTTCATTGCATGATTTTGTAAACGTAGCACTGAATGACTTCTGTACAATGCTTCTTTTAGCTACATTATCCACCCACTTATCCTTCTTCAAATGATAGGTCTCAATCAATAATGGTTTAAGCAAACCTTTAAACATGATAAAATATTTTATAAGTATCACCAACTATTTCTAAATAATCTAATAACAATCTGTATTTAAAAAATAAATAAAAAAATTAGCTGATCAAATAAAATATTTTTATTTTACATACTTTTCCTGCACAAAAAAAAAAAAGAAGGTATTTTTATAACATCCACAATATTTTCTTTGTATCATTCTCCAAACAATAAACCAAGACACACGCACACACAGAAAACATAGACGCCAGGTAATATAACTAAATGAATAACGCACCGAGATTGAACATAAATTGTTTGTCTTGGTTCCAACTTAACTGTAATATTTCCATTTAGCTACTTAGATTTTTTTTTTATCTAAATTTTTTTTTTGTCTGCCAAACTTAACACTATTATATACATTTTTAGAGACTCTGCATTCCAGTTGAAAATAGAATACAAGGAACAAGAAACAGCTGAATGGTTTGAATTACCTAATGCAGAATTACAATGTTGGCAAGCGATTCTATTGTTACTTTTCTACCTTTCTGGAGATTAGTGAAATGGCTTAAACAGCAATTTTAGAAACCGTGGATTTATTACTTTTTACTTTCAGATTGTCCTGGCACGGCATTTAGAAAAACACAATTTTATAATTTTGAGTAGAGAATAATGTTTCTTTTTATTAAAATGAAAATGACACAGCACTGCATATCCAAGTTGATTTAATGTTTTTATTAGTTATATAACTGTTTTAATACCACACTAACTATTGCTTGCTCCTTAGGGTTTTGTTTGTTCTCATATCCAAGAAACAAATTGATAATTCAAAAAAAAAAAAAATATAAGTATTTCTTAGTTGTTTGCAAACTGCACAGCAGCCATCAGTCACCGCAGGGTTACCACGATAGGCAAGAAAATAGTTGGAACCTTATCAATTTCACTATATGGCTAAATATTATTGCCATGTACTGAAATTCCTTTGGTGTTATTGCTTGATTTTAATTGTGATTATAAAATGTGAACAATGTGGATCCTGAACCACAATTAAACACCTGCTGTATTTGTTGTGTACGTATCTGTTCTGAAATACTGGGTATTTAAATACTGCTGATTCAGATGCACAAAGAACACACAATAGTTTTAGAACAAATGTTTGGTCAAATAAAAAATATAAAAAATTATAAAATGAAAATGGAGAGAGGAAACTGTTATTTCTGTGCTAGTCGTATAAAAAAAAAAACAAAAACAAAAAATCTACCTGCATAATTTCCGGCTGTATTATAGTAACAGATTTGAATGGCCTACTTAGCAGCATTTTGTTTAGTCAAGTATGTTTGACATGGTAAATTGTGGTTAGAATTGCATATAGAGGCTGTCAAATAAATTAGCTTCTATATGACAAATACGGCCCTTGCAGAATAATACATCAATATTTAGCATTTTAAGGATACCGTACAGATTCATTGACCATGCTTAAATGATAAACTAGGATACACTGTGCAAAAATTAACAACAGATCGCTTGATGAGATTTTGGATTCACTGTGGCACATGGTGTAATGCTGTGATATCATTATAAGCGGAGAAAAAAAAAACGTGCATCTTTAGAAAGCATCCCAATCGTATTAATTGGCGTATTTGTAAAACAAGAGTAAGAAAAAAAAGCAACTATTTAATTACCAGAAGACTGAGCAGTGTATCTTTTACGCATCTCTTATGTAATGGGTTAAAGTTTTCCATCTCGTAGGGTGGCAGTTTGTGTTCTGACATTTCAGAGTTTTTTTTTTAGCGGGCCTGCTAGGGTGATTATACTGGGGTATTTTACAATCTCTATATTTTTTTAATATACCTATGCTACCTTTGAAAGCCAATGATTTTTTTCTCTATGTGGGAATTCAATTCTGGGATTAATTTACCTAACCAGAATTTGAGGAAAATAAAGGAATTGTAAATTTCAAGCAGAAATAGAACAGCTGCTTTCTCTTGCTTCGGCTGTATTTTCCAATGAGAGAAAGATATTGGGTATCTTTGGGGCCCAAATATTTAGTTTTGTGTCCCTCCCTACACTAACCATGTCATAAAATGTTCCTGAAATGAGAGAGGTGGTTGTGCCTAAAGACGGCCCATAACTGGTTAGAATTATGTAACTATTGACTTGGAATTACTTGGAACCGGTGGACATGGCCCTTCAAGTAGTTTTAAAGTCAAAAACTATGGGAGGCTCAGACATGAACTGCCTTGTAAGATAACTCTGAATATCGTACATGCTCTAGTAGAATCTTGGTTCATCACATCTCCTCACCAACACAGTGCACTATGGTTTGTTAACTCAGGATTACTGCATACTGATACATGTAATATTTCTTTACATACTATTACTCTGCTATATTTTCTGTACTTGTATCGTAGTTTAAAAAAGGCAGGTGTTCTCTGCAACACAATCCTCTTTACCAAAGCGCCCAACACACTATGGTGTCCCCCACCATGGACACCAAGATGGCAGTGACTCATAGAATTGGTGAAAAGAGAATGTGGACTTCAAGTGAAGACTCAGGCTGGTGTTGTTACAAACTGAAGTATGAATAAAAAATATATGAAATAGCCCCCAGTTGGAGAATAGCACAGCAATTACCCAAACAGACTGGACTATAGTCTTAAAGGGATCATGACCAATTCATCTAGTCCCCATAAATGTTACTGGCGATGATATCAGACCTGAGGAAAAAGTAAAGCAGGGGGTTATATGTTTTTCGCTTCCACTGCATATTTGAGATAGTCAGGATTATTCACCAAACTCTGAAATTTAGCAAAATAAGGTCACAATTTAATATTTGTTTTGATAAACATTTAAAATGATTTAATATTAAAATTTTTAATATTTTATAGTATTTTGATATTTTTCATATATTAATATATCTTTATATATGATATATTTTTTCTATGTTAATAATGAAAAAAAAAACATTTTTAATGTTTTTCCAAAAATATTAAATCAAGGCTATAATTGAAATAGCAAAATGTAGGATAAAGTATCCAAACTGTGACCACAGCGGAGTTGGAGAAATTTATAATTTGGAATTCATTCGCTTAAATTCCGAGTTTAGTGCATAACTCTGTATATTTTACGTAAAATGTCCGTGTATTATTTATCAAGCTATTATACTTGAATTTATGGAATTTTATTGAGTTTAAAGGGGATACAAAATTATTGAGGCTAAAAAGTCAAATATATATATTTTATCAATAATCTCAGACTCTTCTCTTAGATTATATCTGTTTTTATGTAAAAAAAATGTAATCATTATAGGTTTAATAGATTTCTACAGTGTGAAACATTTTTTTATTATGTAGATAAAAATTAAATACAACTAATTAGATTGTATAGAAATATGATCTTGAATATGTTCATGTAAATCTAGTTATTAAAAAAAAAATATATATATTTATATATATATATGTAACAAGGGCTTGCACTCCTGGTTAAATTCTTAATGCCCGGTGCAGGTCTGGCAAAATCATGTAGATATAGTAGAAAGGACCGCACTCCAAGGTCTTTGTGATAGTTTTCAAATAACATTTAACTTTTATTTAATCCATATAAAAGTCAACATTTCAGCCACCACATGGAGCTTTCATCAGGACAAGAAAAAATAAAATAAAAAATAATATATATATATTTCTAACTTATTACAATTACGTGCAAAAATAAGTGGATTACATTATCTTTTTGGACACGTTAGTAAACTTGTATGTGTTCTAAACTATTTCAAACACAGTAAATGCAGAAGTAAATTCGAAGACACATACACAGCATTATTTACTAAAGTGAGAATTGCTGGAACTCAAAATTCAAAGTAACTAAACTGGAGGCATAGTTAACTAGACTTCGGCTACTTTGACCTTAAATTTAAAACTCCCTTTGAATTCCCAGAAATTCTTGCTTTAGTAAATAACCCAGTCTAAATCTGAAAATATTGAGAATTAAATTCTGCAACTTTGAGGCTAAATAATTTTATTTGGTTTGAGTGTAGCCTCTTACTTGCATGAAGAACTGTTGCAGAAGTAATATATTGGACATTAATAAATGGCATGATTTACTTAAATACATCTTTAAACTTTTC